TTGTAACAGGGTTGTACCTCTGTAGCTGTCACTCTGGAGCTGATCGCCTTTTGAGTGCTCAATTCACCTTGTCGCCGCTTATCATTTGTCTCCTCTTTTTCACTCTTAAATTTTCAACATAATTCCTTGGCAGTTGGATACGCAAAACATACATTGCTTATATTCGCGTATGTATTTGCAATGCCTGCTAACCTTAGCACCAGCACATAATAATTGAATGACCACAGAATGATTATATTTGGACGACAACGCTATTTTCAAGTCACAATCCTTAAAATAGCAGACAAATGCAAATAATAGGAACTAAACAGTGTGGCTTTTACAAACGTAACTAACATTGCAGAACTTATGTGATTTCAATTGTTTCCAAGACTAACCTGACCCAGGACAAAAATAATAACATAACATTTATAAATTCAATACTAAATTATTATTCTCCTTAATTTATTATATATGCATACTTTTGTTATTTATTTTACAAGTTGGATATTCTTTAGATTCTCACGGTGTACTTGAGGAACCTGGTACCGTTTCTTGCAAAACCACGTCCAAACTAAAATGGCAAATTCGTAGAATTTAACAACATTGTTTATTCTGCAAGCGTTAGCCCACGCATCAATCAAAAACAACAGTAAATGTACAAAAACGAGCGACCAAATTTAAATGGAAACTGATCTAATTGGACATTAGAGATAAATTTACTAGTTTACGACACTAATTTAGTAGGATTACGAGAGAATATGTACGTAGGAAAGGAATTAGCCTCTTTTTTAATCGTTATTATAAATTATTTATAAGCTTAATTTTTAAAAGCAGTCATCCATCACTACAGGTGTGTAAAATAAAAAAACAGTTTTTGAATTTTAAAAATAAAAGCAGTTTTTTATAAATTTATGTAATCCTAGCATTTAACGGTTAATTTTTTTGAGTAGACAACTAGATCGTGTTTCAACATATCACCTTTTACTTATTTCTCACTTCTCCTTTATTCCCACAATATTCAAAACCAAAGTTATTTGTACGTTTTAGAAATTATGCTCACAGAGGACAATACAATATAAAACATTCCGTGAAACTGTTTTCTTGTAACATGTCTATGTTAAATATTTTGTTTGTATGGGATTAAGCCATAATTGACTGTAATGAAAGCAATACTTTAAATCAAATTTTGACGTTTCGATCTCCACTCCGGGAAACGTTTTCAAAAAAGATTATTTAAGAATTGTATCAAAAGAATATTGAAGAAATACATCCTGCTACTTTACTCAATTTATATAAGGCCTATATTAGACCTCACCTTGATTATGACCTTACCTACTTACAAAACTGGATAAAGTTCAATATAGAGCTCTCAGAGTGATCGGGGGATTTATGAGGACCTCTCCAGTTCATATTATTTTATCGGAATGTGGGGAAACACCGTTAGATCTTAGAAGGATTTGGCTAGCATCTAAATTTATATTAAAGGTGGTAGCATATGACAACCCAATATATTCTTCAATAGAGCAATTTCATAAGGCATTTCTGAATTACTTTAGCTTTTGGAGAAGAAAATACTTTCCACCAATACTGGCTACCACTGCTTCCCACTTGATTTTCAGATTTCTCCTACTGTTTATGAAACTCTCAACCTTGGGAAAGAAGGTAACAAAGCCAAGTTTGTGTCATGATACCTTGATAACTTGAATATAAACTTATCTTCACAAATGTATTCAAAGATGAATAAGGTAATGTGGGCATTGGTATATACCTTAATGAAAGCACCGAATTAACAGCAAGATTACCATCTGCTAATTCAATTTGTTCAGCAGAATTATTTGCTATAAAATAGGCATTAAATTTAATTGAACAGAATGATTTCGAAAAAAGCCTTATTTGAGTGATTCAAAAAGTGCTCTGGAAAAAATTATAAGACCAAGTTATAAGACTGCAGCTGACATACAAAATCTTTAATTAAAATAAACACTTAGTCAACTCCATCAACAAATAAAGAAATGAAATTCGCATGGATTCCAAGTCACATCGGGATAGTGGGGAATGATAGAGCTGATTATCTTGCTAAACTTGGAAGAAAGCTACCTGTTACTGAAAAAAAGGCTTCCTTTAATGATTTTCAACCTAAATATAAGGAAAACCTATGGATCAGTTGGAAAAATCGGTTCCAACAAATAGGACAGGTAAAAGGAATTACATATTGTACAAATTTTACGGTTCCATATAAAAAGGCCTGGTTTACAAGGTTTCCCAACCTGGGTAGGGGCATAATTGCACAGGTGTGTGATATGAGAAGTGGACATTGCAGCGTTCCGGTTTATTTATTTACATTGAAAGTGATCAATACAAATCTGTGTAACAGTTTGTTATAACCTTACAGCATGTGTTATTGGAATGTACTAGATATCAAAGGGAGTCCCAGTTACTTAGTAGTGAATTTCAAGGCTATCTAACATTTATCGGGGTGTGTTCAAAAACTCAAACTCAAAGACACTGCTCGCAGTGCAAAAGTTTTTAGCTTTAACAAGGTTTCAAGTGTAGTTCGTTAATGTAGGTACATTATAAGATTTAATCTGCTTGCTTGGATTTAATGTGCTTTGTGCGATTTGGTGCAGTAGTATAGGGCTAGAACAATAGAGCTTTAGAACTTATTTGACTTGAATTTGTTTTTATTTCCTCCTTTAACTATTGTTGCAGGTTCAGGAGCTATGAGCTTAAGCCCAAATGTACCTTAGGTACGGCTCTTGAACATTCAGTATAAATACACAGATCCTGGCGGGATAGCCCTGGTAGCTAGGCAAATCGGTGGAAGAAGAAGAAAAAAGTTGTTGAGAGGGTTATGTTTTTTCAAAACTGACGGTTGATTCACTTGGCCACGATGTTGCAGGTAACAGCCATGTTTTTGGCTAAAAAGATCTGAGGAGGGATTGTGTGCCTCGGGACATTAAATTCTGATTATTATATGAATTTCTAAATTATTTATATGTGCATTATGCGTTTTTATATGTGTGTACGTATATTGTGTTTGTCTATTGTGTGTTCCATATGTATTGTGTGTGGTTGTGGACGATAGCAGGTTAAGAAAGTTGGAGACACATGGTCCTCAATCACATACAATACGTATGCAACACACAACAGACAAACGCAATACACTAATACAAATACACAAATGCATAGTACACAAATAAATATTAATGCACAGAAGAATGCACAGCAAAGGCCAGAGTTATGCTACAATAATTACAGCAAGTAACACAAAGAGTCGGTTTAAAGATAAACTATGAAAAATCAAAAGATATTTGTATATGGGCCACAAAAGTCCAGTCAGAAGAGTAGGTTTAGGTTGGAATGTTTTAAGAAAAATGAAAGACGTGTTTAAAACAAGATAAAATAGTCTCCACACCAAATTTGTTATATTGATGTGAAAACTGGACAATGACGCAAAGAGAATTCAAGCTTGCGAAAAGAAATCTTCACCGTTCTTAAAAGGGTGAAAGGCATTGTAAGACTTAATTATCTACTCAACCAATAAGAAAATAAAGAAGTTTTGAACATAATGGTAACAACTAGAAACAGATTGGATAAATATTGACTAACTAAACCAATACTAAATTAAAACTCTAAAGGAAGAAGTATGACCTCTTAAAAAGATAGAGCGAAGTTTGGTGCAAAACAAACAACTGTCTAAACACTGGAATGAAGAAAAAAAATCATATTCATCACCTGTGACCTATGACAGACGATGGACGACCATGGTCGCCCGTTGGGGTTTCTAGGATCTAAAGTTTTATCTGGTGTGGAGGCCAGCCACACGCATAACTCCTTGAAAAGTCCAGCGTTTCAGTTGATCATGACCATGACCATAGTTGACCATGTTTTTATCTTATACGCTTCCTTTTCCCATTCTAGTACTGCTAGTTCCTTTAAACCCTGGTTAACACCATCAAGACACCTCGTTCGGGGCCTACCTCTCGGTCTTTTCCCGTTTAATTCTTTTCTAAGTACTGTTTTTGTATTTCTCTTATCTTCTCCTTTCTCCTTTCTCCTTTCTACGTGTCCCTACCAACTTTCATTTGTACTTTTTCCCGAGTTGTTTTCATGAACGTTGTCTTTGAGACATTAACTTCTTCTTCTTCTTAACATGCCATACACCAAAGTGCGTAGGCGACTATCTCATTACTAGAATTCTGTTCTTGGCGGCGTGACACAGCTCGCCTGTATGTTGTATTCCTGTCCATTCTTTAATATTCCTTAACCAGGATAGTTGTTTGCGGCCGGCTCCTCTCCTACCTTCGATCTTCCCTTGTAGGATTAACTGTGGTATTTCATATTTTGCTCCTCTCAATATGTGCCCAAGGTATCCAATCTTGCGTTTTTTAATTAATTTAAAGAGTTCTCTTTCCACGCCGGCTCTCTTAAGGACGTCATCGTTTCGAACTCTATCCACCCAAGGTATGCGCATCATTCTTCTCAATGACCACATTTCAAATGCTTCAAGTTTGTTGATAGATGTTTTTTTGCAAAGTCCACGTTTCCATGCCATAAAGCAAGACGGACCATATGTAGCACATTTGACCTATAGAATGGTCATAATGGACTTAACTTCTAGACCCATAGAATGTGCCGCTTCTTTAAAATATGTATTAAAAAGTGTTGTGAAAGGCGCATTTCCTTGTGTTAGTCCTTCGTTGATATTAAATTCTTCGGACAGTTGATTTTGGATTATTACTTTTGCTTTGGTTTTGGTTAGGCATAGTTTTGCTCATCAGATTAGTTTTTATTAGTAGATATTAGTAAACAGAAGTCTATTTCGGGTACATTTATTAAAGATTGATATTACCGAAATATATTGCAGGGTTCAGATATTTTACGAATAATAATCATCGTTAAAGATAATCAAGCAATGAATATCGAATCGCCCTTCGGTAAGTGCCCTTGGTCTAGTTTTGTACTTTCTGTATATAGGCAATATTTAGGTAAATTTAAAAACAATACGAACTAATTTTACGAAATATTTTATTAGCGATGTATATAGATAAGAACCAGAAAATAATATCAGTAAATTGTTTAGCAAGGAACCGTTCCAGGTGGTGTAGAAGGAAAGTCCACAAACTCCACGGAACCATATTTCCTCTCTAGAGCTTCCTTAAGGTCCAAACTATGCTGATAATCCCTCGTTTCAAGTATACATTTAACAGAAACACTGTACACATCTGAAGTAACCCATGCTCTTTCATGCATAACATGCTTAATACAAATTCCAAGATCACTAATATCAGCCAAAAGTTCAGCGACTCCACCTGCTCGGTCTCTGACAAGTACTTTTACTTTGATATATCTTCCGTCTGCTGCAAGGCCTCTTTCCAGAACTCTACCCAAGACTGATGTGTCAATATTTCCACCAGATAGTACTATAGCGATTTTTTTGCCTTTATATTCATCCAAGTGTCCGCCCAATATGGCTGCTACTCCTGAAGCCCCAGAACCTTCTACGACTACCTTTTCCATTTCTACAAGTCTTAGAATACCAAGAGCGATACAGTTTTCTTTTAAGCTAATTACTTTTTCTACATGGTTTCGAGCTGTAGCGAATGCATTATATCCTATACAAGGTACTGATAGTCCATCAGCGAGTGACGGTAGTATTGGTGTATCCGTAGGTTTTCCATTATCCATGGCATTCTTGAAACCAGCTGCACGCGCAGCCTCTACTGCAATTATTTTAGCTTGAGGATTTAACCCTTTAACAGCTACACATATTCCTGACAAAAGACCGGCTCCACCCGTTGGTACTACGACTACATCAACATCAGGCAAGTCGCGACATATCTCCATACCTACAGAACCTTGTCCAGCAATGACATTTGGATGATCATAACCGTTTATAAAAACCATATTATGCTTTTTTGCCAAGTATAGAGCAACTTTTCTTGACTCTCCATAATGATTCCCTTTTAGTATAACGTTAGCTCCATAATCTCTGCATTTAGTGATCTTCATGATGGGGGAAGTGATAGGCATAACAACTGTAACCGGGACCCCCAAAGATGCTGCATGGTAGGACATAGCTTGAGCATGGTTTCCTGCAGAAGCTGTAATTACTCCAGCCTTTCTCTGATCCTCTGTTAGATTAAGACAAGCATATCGTGCTCCTCTATCTTTAAAACTTCCCGTAATTTGCTTAAAATCATACTTTAAATATATTTCCATACCAAACATTTTCGATAAATGATATGATCTTGCAAAGGGTGTATGTACTACTCCGTCCTTTATTGCTTCTTCAGCTTTTTTGACATCTTCAAATGAAACTATTACCGGAGAATCAGGATTACAAAATTCATCTTTAACCTCTTCTATAGCATCTATATTTGCAATATCATCTGCGTTGACTGTTGAACGAGGAATTATTGTTGTTGTAGGCACTGCAGGATTATTTTGTTTAGATAGAATAGATTTTTCACAGAAACAATCATCCCTTTTATTTAGATTCATATTGAAAAAATATTGTTTGTACTAATAATTTAATATTCTATTGCACTAGTAATTTTTTATATCAAAATTGACAGACATATTGAATTTAAATTTATTTTCGCAACCTATGTGACAGATGACTGAATGATGAATTTTTTCCATGTTTGTTTTTTTTATATTTCTTCTTTGTACTATAGTGTAGTACAAAATCGTTGTGTAGAATGAACTTTTGTATCTCATATGGCCTTAATTTTCCCTAATAATAATAGTCTCCCTTTATACCGCTTGTTATACGGCTGTGGGATTATAGCTGGGTACTTTGATATCTCTTGGTCTATGGTATACAACTGAGTTAGACTCAGAAACGCACAACTCAAATTTTGCAAGAAAAATGACACCAAAAGTGAAAAGATTAGCAAAGATACAAGGGCTCTCATGGAAATACGACGAAACCTAAGCGAGAACGAAAAGGGAAACAAAGAAGAATATAAAAAACTAAATAAAAGAATTTCAGCGGAAATTAGAAAAGATGTAAGAAGATATAATACTAATGTAATTAATCAAACAGAAGAAGAGAACAAAGGTTAAAAGATAATGAAAAGAACACTTACGCAAAGTAAAAAAGAAATATACAAGCTGAGAGATAAAGACGGAAAGGCAACAACAGATAAACAAAATATTCTGAAAATAACTAGAGAATTTTATAAAGACCTCTATACCAGCCAAAGACCACAAGACAATTTCCCGACACGAGTAAAGACTCCCATAAATCAGGGATCGGAAATACTTTTACCCATTACTGTGTCAGAAGTAATAGCAGCTTTAAAGGAAATGAAGAACCATCGATCGCCTGGTGATGATGGACTCGTTATCGAGGCAATAAAAGCAGGTGGAGATATTTTATTAAAATCAGTAAGCGAACTGTTTACTAAATGCTTACATGCGGGTACGATTCCAAAAGACTGGAACAATGCAGTAATAGTCTTGTTGCACAAAAAATTCGATATTACTAAATTAGAAAATTATAGACCCATCAGCCTCTTGACACATATGTACAAACTCTTTATGAAAATCTTAACAAAGAGGCTAACACCTAAACTTGATTTCTATCAGCCCAAAGAACAGGCAGGCTTCAGGGCAGGATATGGCACAAATCACCATTTGCATACCATAAAGATCTTAATAGAAAAGTGCATCGAGTACAACATACCACTGGTTCTTGCATTTGTCGATTACGAGAAGGCTTTTGATTCTGTAGAGTTTGAAACAATACTGAAAGCCCTAAATCAAAGCCGAATAGATTACAGGTACACGACACTAATCAAAAACATCTATCAAAACGCTACATCAAGTATACGACTGCACGAAGACACAGAAAAATTCAGCTTAGGTCGAGGAGTTAGACAAGGAGACAATATTTCACCAAAATTGTTCACGGCAGCTCTAGAGTCAATATTTAAGGGTACTCAATGGCAAGATATGGGCATCAATATAGATGGAGAAAGATTAAATCACCTAAGGTTTGCAGATGATGTTGTATTAATCGCAGATAACTTACATGATACAGTTTCTATGATGCATTCGCTTAAAAGTCTGTCTGAAAGAGTAGGATTAAAGATAAACTTTGAGAAAACTAAAATTATAACAAATCTCGTAATGAGTGGAAATATAACTATTGACAATAATACCATACAACAAACAGACACTTACAAATATCTGGGACACGAAATCAAAATAAGCAGAGACAATCAAACACATGAAATACAGAGGCGAATAGGTCTAACATGGGCAGCATTTGGCAAATTAAGCCATATTCTAAAAAGTTCAATTCCCATGTGTCTCAAGCGAAAGGTTTATAACCAATGTGTTTTACCTGTACAAACTTATGGAGCGGAGACTTTAACACTCACGCAAAAATCTGTGAATAAACTTAGAGTTACACAACGAGCCATGGAACGTGCAATGCTGAACGTGAGCCTTCGAGATCACATAACAAACCAACAAATCAGGCGAAGATCAGGAGTTCAAGACGTCATCGAAAGAACCACGACGCTTAAGTGGAACTGGGCAGGGCACTTAGCCAGAACACAAGATGGACGGTGGACAAGACGTATTATGGAATGGAGGCCCAGAAATTATAAAAGAAGCCGAGGACGACCACCGACTAGATGGACCGATGACATTAAACGTGTAGCGGGAAACTGGCTACAAGCGGCCCAGTGCAGAGAACACTGGAAAGAACTGAGGGAGGCCTATGTCCAGCAGTGGACGCGATTGGCTGATTGATGATGATGATGGTATACAAGGAAGGTAAAAGGCCCTGTGCTACGCTTTAACCGCCTTTTGTTACTTTTGGTTTTATGCAAGGTACTTATTTTATCGAGGTTGAGTCGACCTGGGGCCAGTAGTAACTTTTAAAAAATGTAAATAGTTATTCTCGCTGGTACTGAAGATTAATCCCCAGCATTCTGCATTATAGTCAGACACTCTACCGCCTGAAGTATCCGGCCATATCAGACTTTCAGTGTAAATCCTAGAAAATCTCTATAGCTTATAGAGAAATTGACTATATAGCGCTTAGACAAGAAAAGAGAGAGGACAGGTAACGCTCATTTATTAAACCTTCGCAAAGTGAGTCCAGTTTCGATGTGACCGCCATATTTTGGTGCCTGTAGAATTCGAAATAAAAAGAATTTGTACCGGTTATTTTTAAGAATTTTAATAAGACTAATAAAAAATTTAGCTCACAAAAATGTTTCATTTTAAATATGGATTAATTAATTCATAACAATAGCCCAAATATACGTCGCCGATTACTACCTCTGGTACTGGTTTTGACATTAGTCAATTCCACATGATTACGCGTCCATTCTCTTTCCTTGTCTAAGATATAGCGAATCGTATTTATCTTCTTTTAAATTCACCCATGGCCTCTTGCCCTACAGCACACAGGTCATTTTGTTAATCTTTCTGGTCTTTTGTGATTTTGTATCGTTTTGTACTGACAGACGTTGAAGTATCATGTACTACTTTAAAAAACAGAAAACTAAGAAGCTATTTTCTTGTGGCATTGTAAATTAATTACTATTTATAACTGGGAATAAGCCACAATTAAAGATAAAAATACGTTTATTGACGTTTCAATTTCCAATTCGGAAATCGTTCTCAAAATACAGAACTTTATATGTACAAAAATCTTCTTCTTCTTCTAGTTCCATGACCGTTATCGATCGTTGGATATCATGTTGGCTACCATATTCGCTATCGTGACTTTATTGACAGCAGCTCTAAATAACGATGTAGTTGATTTTTCATACCATTGCCTTAGATTTTTCAGCCATGATGTTCTTCTTCTACCAGGACCACGATTACCTTGGATCTTTCCCTGAATGATCAGATGTAAAAGATCATATTTTTCAGGGTGTTTTCACAAAAATCTACCAACGATAAAAATAATCAAAGAGAGGAAAATATAATACTTGCGTCATGTTTTGAGCGGTGAAAAATATGAATTACTTCAAATCATATTAGAAGGTAAAGTACTGATCAAAATATCAGTTGGAAGACGTCAGAACTCGTGGCTAAAATACCTGAGGAGATAGTATGATCGCTTGTCCGCAGAAATCTTTCGTGGATCAATTTCCACAATTGCCATTTGAATCGCCAATATTCGGAAAGGGACGCATTAAGAAGAAGAATGATTTTAATTTTGATAAGTAATAATGAATATTATGTGGTTGTGTTATTTTTTTATTACCTCAATCTGATGCCAACTTTTAATCATCCAAAGGAAACATTTAGTAATTCCATATACCTAAGGTATCAAAAGGATAGAGATCTAGGAGAATCTTTTCGTTTGATCGAGTCTTGTTAATGCTGTACTATGTCCACAAATATTTTGACTTATCTGAACCATTAGAGCAGTAGTGCTTTCTGAATAGCCATATCAAAATGTTGATTAAGAGCTGGTGATTGTCTCTAGGGGTGTCTTTAAAATGACTCCAGTACTTGATAGAAATAGAGATATCGTCTTTTCACTTTGTGTTTTTCATTGTCGTTTGTTTGTTCTCTATTATCTCTATACGTGACGATTTTGTCGCTGTTTTACACACGTAGATTGTTGTTAGCCACGTGAAGTTGTTTGTAAGCCTGTTTTATTAACTACTATAAGATCCTGCCTGTTTTGGTTGCTCTGTGAACACTGTATGGTCCCACCATTGCTTGTGATTTTCATTCACAAGCAGAGGATCGGATGCATTCTAACACGAGAGATGGTTGACATTATTAATTATAAGTTTGTTAGTTTTTGAATGAGTATCTTTCCTATTAAATAACGTTACTTTGACAAATGCTTGGCAGTCCCCGGCAAGACTTTGACTTGTTTATTAGGCTTGACACCCAAATGTCTTTTATATACATTTACCCTAATAATAAAACAAAACGTTATTTAAATAACAATACACATAATATAATTTAAGTAACAATTTTAATAAACAATTTATCGTTTTCTATGAAAACTCTAACAAAAATATCTTAATTAAAAATGAGGATAGTGATAAGTTAGAAAATAATAAAAATAAGTAGTTTAGCAGGGAACAGTTCCTGGCGGTGCCGTAGGAAAGTCCACAAATTCTACTGAAGCATACTTCTTTAGTAAAGCTTCCTTTAGTTCCAAACTATGTTGATAATCCCTCGTTTCAAGTATGCATTTTACCAAAACACTATACACATCTGAAGTAACCCAAGCTCTTTCATGCAAAACATGCTTAATGCTAACTCCATTATCACTAATATGAGTCAAAAGCTCAGATACGCCACCTGCTCTGTCTCTAACAATTACTTTTACTTTTATAAATCTTCCGTCTGCTGCAAGACCTCGTTCCAGAACCCTACCTAACACTGATGTATCGATGTTTCCACCAGAGAGAATAATGGCAACTTTTTTGCCCTTATATTCATCCAAGTGCCCCCCTAATATGGCTGCTACTCCCGTGGATCCCGAACCTTCGACGACTACCTTCTCCAACTCTACAAGTCTCAGGATTCCAAGAGCTATACAGTTTTCTTTCAAGGTAACGACTTTTTCTACATGGTTTCGAGCTGTAGCGAACGCATTATATCCTACACAAGGTACTGATAGTCCATCAGCGAGTGAGGGTAGTATTTGTGTTTCCACAGGTTTGCCCTGATCCATGGCATTTTTAAAGCTAGATGCACGCTCTGCTTCTACTGAAATTATTTTTATATTTGGATTTATCCCTTTAGCAGCTACACATACTCCTGACAACAGACCAGCCCCACCTGTAGGTGCTATAATTACGTCAACATCTGGCAAATCTTCTAATATCTCTAAACCAACAGAACCTTGTCCAGCAATGGCATTAGGATGATCGCAACCGCTTATAAAACACATATTATGTTTTTTTGCCAAGTAAAGAGCAACTTTTTTAGATTCTCCATAATGTTTCCCTTTTAGTATAACGTTGGCACCAAAGTCTCTACACTTTGTGATCTTCATGATGGGGGAAATAATAGGCATAACAACTGTGACAGGTATACCCAAAGAAGTTGCATGGTATGACATAGACTGGGCATGGTTTCCCGCAGAAGCTGTAATAACTCCATTTTTTTTCTGTTCGTCTGTTAGATTAAGACAAGCATATCGTGCTCCTCTATCTTTAAAGCTTCCCGTAATTTGTTTAAAATCATACTTTAAATATATTTCCATACCAAACATTTTCGATAAATGATACGATTTCGCAAAGGGTGTTCGTATTATTCCGTCCTTTATGGCTTCTGCAGCTTTTTTAACAGCTTCAAATGGGACTATTATCGGAGAATCAGGATTACAAAATTCATCTTTAACCTCTTCTATAGCATCTATATCGATATCATCTGCATTTACTGTTGAACGAGGAATTATTGTTGATGTAAGCACTGCAGGATTATTTTGTTTATATCGATTAGATTTTTCACAAAAACAATCATCTCTTTTGTTCATATTTACAATAAAAAATTTATTATTAAATTTAACTAATAATTTTTAAGATTAAAATTGACATTTATATTTTTGACATAATTATGTATCTTTGATTGATGACAAGTTTTTTTATCATTTTGTTTTTCTTCTTTTTATAGTTTTATAGTATAGTATTTTTATACCTTACTGAGCCTTGACATTTGTCTTGTCTAATATAGCATCCCTGGTACCCAAACATTGTAATTTGTAGATAACATTTGTGTTATACATAACTGGTGTCTGGTCTTCGATTGTCGACATTAAGCAATATTAAGCATATTACATTACATTGATGATAATGAATTTGTACTTCTTTATGTTGATGTAAGGTGCAAAAATAACAAACAAGTCAATGGGTAAAACAGAGAGTTGAGAAAAAAGAATTGAGAGCAAAAAGAAATAAAAGTTTAGAAAAAATGAAACGTTTGAAGAATGATCATAAAGTAGTAGAATGTGTATTAGGAGTTACAGTGTATAAAGCAGGCACCTGTTAGTAATATATTAAGGAGGCAGTTTAAATAAATTGTCTCCCATTCTCATTTCTTCTATTCTATACATCCTAGAACATCTGTAGTAATTATGAAAGTAGATGATTCCAGCGTTCTAATTGCTGTTTTGTCGCTGGATCTTCATATATTTCTTTTTTTTTGCTGTTTGTACTGCTTTCTAGAAGTTTATATTCAGTATTTTCTTCACTTAGAGATTCAAGTAGTTCCAAAATAACAGTTCGACCTATTAGAGATGACCAAAATAGAAATAGAAAGAGAGACCGGACAAAAAGGGGAGATAAAAACAACGGTTTACTGGAAAAAAATAGAATCTTACAGCAAGTGAAGTTAGTAATTAAAAATGAAAGAAATCGAGAATAAACTCACAAAATTAAAAGATTATATTAAAATAGGCATAAGGAAAATTAAAGCAGAACTATGAGAGATGACATAAAGGAGATTAAAAATGACGTAGAGTTTGGAATCAGAGCTAAGAGAACACAATAATGATATGCAGGACATAAAATTGAAAATTTGAAAAAAGAAGAAGAATGGACAAAAAAGAAAGAACTAGGATATATATTTAAAACACAACAAACAAAACGAAACATATAAGATACTTGGATAAAATGACTATATTTAAAGCAAAATAAGTCTTAAAAAAGGAGACATATTCATAGATCCAGAACTAACCAAAGATGAAAGAATTATTTAAAACGAGATGTTACGAAAGACAAAAAAAGTAAAGAAGAAAATGTCAAAATTTGATATCAGAAACGGAAATTGATGTTAATACAATGAAGTGAAAGAAAAAGAACGAACGCTGGTAGAGAATAAAGTGAAGTTAGTAAATACAAAAGCTAGCCACCCAACAACGGTTTCGGCAATAATGACAGACCACGGAAAACAAAAAAGGAAGTATTACTTCCTTAATTAATACTTCCGTGTTAGTTTTCTTTTGTGTCTAAAAGATGAAAAAATAACGAAAACTCTTTAAAAAGAATGGAATCTTTAAGGTCATAAAATTTTTATGTAGATGCTTTTCACATTTGGTACATTCAACGCGTTTGTTTATTTGGCATACATACAGTACATCTTTTTTATGATGTACTTCTAGACATATGATTTCTTCTGTCAAATCGTATATCTTCATATGCATATTTTCTGCAGTAGATGTTGCCCAACTGTTCGTTTACTGTGAACTCTTTTTCCATTTCCTGTGAACCGATATAGTTTCTTCCTTATCCTCATCCGAATATTCTTCCACACCGGTTTACATATTCCACAACATATTTTTTATTGTGTTCCCAAAGAAAAGAAACGTTGGCATTTGAAAGGTTAAGAAATCACTGAGAATTATGTATATGCAATATTTTCTGGCAACAAGATCAATAACATAAACCTGTGGATGCTTACAGCGATAAAATATATTAAACTGACCATAATATCAAGAATGTGGGAAGTTTTGAGAAATTTTGACATGCCGGGGAAGAGAAGAGTGGAGAGACTGTCTAAATATATGGGAAAAGAAGTAGACGGAGAGTGCAAAATAGAGTTAATAACGTGGAAAGAGCTACAGGGATTAGTAAAGAATAGGAAAATATGAAGTACAGTTGAGAAATTAGCACTGAACGCTGCCCATACTGCACATGAGCATCCAACCAGGCAGTATTACACCTACTACTGCAATAGAAACATGACAATCTTAAGCTACACTAGAAGCAAGAGCAAGATGAAGAAGGTCAGTCTACCTGGTTGGCATTTTCCATTTACTATTTATTTAATACCTTAATTATGTGTCTCATATTGTCAGCACTGGTGATATGACAAGAAGGTTAATACTCTGGTAAATATTAGCTAGAGAGACACTGTGGGATGTTAACCTCTTCAAGAACTAATGAATTTTTCTTTTTGTCGTTCAACTTTTTGAAGTATTCTTCTCTAGAAACCTAACATAGTGGCAATGTTGTGTGAATTTGACTTTAGAACTAAAAATAATGTATGGTAAATGGCTTAAGAATTTCTTACATTTATATTTTAATAAAATTACTCTCTCGGCAAAGCGAAAAACTAAACAAGAAATAGAAATAAATTTATATTATAAATAATGTTGTTACCCACCGACAAACCTACTTGTGCGTGTCATAAGAGATTTAAAATTCAGAAAATGTACAACTTTATTGGTGTTACTTATATAACTTTACTAGTCCAATAAAAAAATTAGTAATAAAAATGACAATCGTATATTTTGGGTTAAAGCTGTTTTTGAAATACCAATTAATACCTCGTAAATCTTAAAAACCATAAATTTTTTTATAATAATATGTTGTGGCTTTCTTTAAAAAAAACTGTATACATTTAGCATATTAAATTAGAAGTATAAATAAACTAATAATTAGAGATGATTTAGCCAATGAAACACAGAAAAATTAAGTATTAAATCAAATAGACTCCGACAAAGTTTAGTTTGGGAATATGACTCATAACTCGACGGTGCGCAGTGGTTCTTGTTTACTAGCGTTACCATAGAAACGGCCAGTTTTCAGTTTGCCAGTGTCGTAGTTGCGTATCGCAGAGAGTGTTTGACTTGTTAATTTGATCGTGTTGGATATTTTATTATTTTATTTTAGATTAGTGCTTATTAGTATAATATAGGTAGTAGTAATTAGTGAATTATTAAGTCGTTTAGTTTAGTTTATTTATAGTGTGTTAAGTTTAATTAATAATAGTTATAATATGGCTTCTAAAAAGATAGGAACGAAAGGGCTGGGATTAAATAGCCAAGCAAAGGCAATAATTTATAATGTTACTACATTTATGGAACAAGAGGCAGCACATTTCGAAGCAACCGAAAACTTGTTAATACCTTTAAGGAAATTGACGTAAGTATTGTCAATGATATTTTATTTTCTTATGTGTGTGTATGTGTGTGTGAAAAATATGACACGGAAACAAGTCCATTAGCCACATAATGTTTTATTTATGTTTAAAAATATTTTGTTTGTTCTTGTTTGTTACTTTTTTTAGATCTTTTTAGATTTTTTGTTATATTTATAAATCATTAAAGTTATACTAATTTATATTTCTACTTTCACATCTTTAAATGTAAAGTGGGGTGTATCTGTAAATATGTATTTTGCGAGTTTTCAACAATATTCTCCCATTGCTGTTACCATTTCAGTCTAATTTTATTTTTTATTGAGTTAAATATATCCCTTACTGTATAAATATTGCAAAAGACTACATTTTGCACTGCTTCCTCAGCTAGAGTATCAGCTTTTTCATTCCCTGGTATACCTACATGGCCTCTAACCCAAATAAATGTTTTATTTATGTTTACAATCATTTTTATTAAAAAACATAACATATGACACTTCATTCCTTCAAATTCTATATTTTTTATAGAGTCTAATGCAAATTTAGAATCTGTTAATATTACTCTACTAAAAGGTAATACCTTTTATATTTGCAACAAGCTCAAACTGATTGGTTTGTATTTTGTATAAATACACCACAACCAACACCTTGTGATTACCTATTTACGATGTTTCATCAGATACTTTCTACTATTTACTTGAAACAGAAAATAACCGATCTCAATATAGATTGTGTTAGTAAATATGAATAATATATGCATTTTGTTTCTCAATATTTTCATCTAGTAACATTTAATATTGGTAATTATAGGGATAGGATTCTAGCAGCTACAGGTATAAGTAAAATCACCTTATCTAAAATAAGAAAAGAAGGTAGAGAAGTTAATAAAAATGGAGCGACTAGTTCATCTTTTACAAGTCAAAAAAAAAACGTTCCCGTGTTAAAAAAACTCAATTGGACCAAGGAGAAGAAGAAATCATCAAAAATGTTATATATGACTTTTACACCATCGAGAAAAGATCACCGACAATTAATGGTAAATAGTTAAAAAATAATTTACGATAAAAAATTTTATTATCCTAAATAAAATAGAATAAGTACAATTATAAAACCATTGTTTGTTTGTATCCATTTAGAACGATATTAAAGTTTTCTAGAAAAACACTGATATAGATACATTTTTAACAAAAACAGTGGATACAATTCCTTTACAATTTTACTAACTTAGTAAACAAGATTTACTTTCCAAATATTTTAACTATTTCTACTTATTTAGGTATTTATCAAAAACTCAAGAACAAAGAAATGGAATTTCCAGGGTCAAAGGAATCATTAAGGAAAACCATAATTGGATTAGGCTTAGAAAATTTTCAGAAGTGTTGATACAAGAGTGGGCTAACATATGTAAACACGTAAAAAAATATGAAAACACTCAAATCGCAAGAGAACATTTATTGGACTCTACGCTGGACCACTTAAATTTTTATTAAGACTGGTTCATCCGAAGAAAGCTTTTCTGATGATGAAGATAGTAATTAAAATTTCGGAATAGACGTGTTTTTGTGTGATATTCCTATGTCATATAACAAAATATAGAAGGCTTTAAAATCCATATTTTTTTATAAAATAAATACATTATTTAATTTGTTAAACTAAATTACTTATTTTTTTGAGTTGTTGAAACCCTTCCTTCCTTCCTGGCAATGT